CTCTCTCTCTCTCTCTCTCTCTCTCTCTCTCTCTCTCTCTATATATATATATATATATATATATATATTATTATTTTGATTTTTTTTTCTGTTCTTGGATGTGTTTGTCCTGTAGATTAACACTTGATAGACTCTGTTTTGAGATTTAGATTTATTATGTTTAAGGTTTTCAAACATTGTTCTCTGTAACCCAGGTTAAAATGTTTTTTTTTTTTTAATTAAATTCTTTTATTTCATTTAATTTCATTGCATTGCATTGCCTTACAGTTTCTGAATCAAGGAAACATTCCAAGTAACTTAATTAATAGAGTTTAGGAGCTTTGGACTGAACTATTTAAAATATTTTTATTCATTTGAAATATTAATTAATTAATTAATTTATTGTTGGTTTTGCTTCATCTGCTTGTATACTTATCTTTTTATATTATGTCCTTAATTTGAAGCATTTGATCTGAAAAAGTGCTATATGATTATATATATATAAATATATAAAAGGTTTTAAAACATTGTGATCTGGATTATTTATTTATTCAAATTAAATAAAAAATGTGGTACTTAATTTTTCAATTAAGTAAATATTCTTAAAATTTTTTCAAGTAATATCTGAAGTGAATAGGCGATACTACAAAATTAAATCATTTTAATTAAATAAATGAGCTTTAGCCTGAACCATTACTTGTAAGTTTTCTGACCTTTTTCTTTGTCTGCCCTTGGCTGTTTTTGTCTTGTGGCTTAGCACCTGCTTTCCTCTGTTTTGGGATTTTGTTTATAGCGCTGAATGTCTGTTCTGTGTCTGTTTTCATTACCCGTCTGCGTCTGAAGATGCCAGCCCGCATTGCTATGGGTTTTCACGTGTCAGAATAGCTTAGTGAGAGTGACATAGAGATTACTGTATTCATTAGGCCTGAAACAACTGTTTTTTAATGGACTTGTTATGCATTTTTTATTTACGTGTGTGTTTTACGATCCCATTTAGAGTTGTGGAGTAATAACCTTGCTCTGAGCAAGAACAAACCCAGGGATTGTTGGGTAGGGAATAAGGGGCCTAATTACTCAGCACGCCGTCCACATCTTCCACTTGTTAGGCAGAGTACTTTTGGTTTTCAGGAGACTATGTGCATTAATGCAAGCCGCATCGCCTAATAACTAGCTGAAGAAATGATAAAAGACTAAAAAATTTGAACGTTGCCCTGTGGCTTTGACCTGTGGAAATAATAATCAAAGGCATCGCTGTCTAATAAGTCGCTGTGGTGGTAAATCAGGAGAATTAAATATTAATGTGACGTATGCACAATGTATACTCAGATGTTCTTTTATGAATGTTTTCTCTTCTCTCCTCCTATCTGTTTCAGCTCCTAACCCATGTGTTGGTAACAAAGGAAGAGGCCCATGTTCTCACCTCTGTCTTATAAATTATAATGGTTCTGCATCTTGCTCCTGTCCACACCTCATGAAACTGTCGGCCAACAACCGAACCTGCCAAGGTGAGTTCTGTAGATCTCTCTTTATGAAACATGTTTGGCCTACACACACACAGAAACTATGCAGTTTTAGAAAAACTGTATTAGAAAATTCAAATCATACATACAGTGTTAAGTCTTTGTGTTTTATATCATTGTATTTTATTATAATAATGTTCTTATTTATTTATTTAATTATTTTGCTCATTTTGTTATTGTTTTATATTTTTTTATTTGAAGGTGCATTTTATGTATAGCAAATATATTAATATTATTTGAAAGCTTTTCAAACATTGTAATGTAAAAGCTCAGGTAAAAAAAAAAGTTAATTCATGTGATTTTTTTATTTATTTTTACTGAATTTTTCAGGATAGTATAAATCTACTCATTAGAATTTCAAGTATCACAGCAATATTCAACAGACACTAATATTTCAACACAGTTTTTTATTTAGTTATATTTATTTAAATAGATTTAATTATTAATAGTGTTATATATTAAATTATACATACAATCTTCACAATAATTAAAACAATAATTGGATAATTACTTGCTTAATAATTACTTGCATATTCACACACACACACACACACACACACACACATATATGTGACTGTGAAAAACGACTATTTATTTAAAGTATTTATTTTCAATGTATTAAAAACTATATGTTGTAATATTTAAAAACTATATAGAAATATATTTTAATGACATTATTAAACTTGTTTTAAAAAAGTAAATAACTTAAGAGCAATTGGTAGTCTATTTTTCTTGTACCGTTGTTTGATTTAAAGGGGTCATATGATGCGATTTCAATTTTTCCTTTCTCTTTGGAGTGTTACAAGCTCTTGGTGCA